GCTTATAAGTGATATGTTAAAGGGCAGGAGCAGGGGAAGATGCAAAGGAGCAATATGGAGGTACATAAGAGGGTCTGCTTATTCTGTTTCTTGCACCAGGTGCTCTAGCCTTCACCGGATCCAGAGTGAAAGTGAGGTGATCCAGCAGAGCGGCCAGCTCCTTCAGTCGTATCTGACTGATCTCCTGAGCGCCATCACCAGGTCTGTCAAGATGTGTCCTGCTATCATCCGTGGGTACATAAGAGGGTCTGCTTATTCTGTTTCTTGCACCAGGTGCTCTAGCCTTCACCGGATCCAGAGTGAAAGTGAGGTGATCCAGCAGAGCGGCCAGCTCCTTCAGTCGTATCTGACTGATCTCCTGAGCACCATCACCAGGTCTGTCAAGATGTGTCCTGCTATCATCCGTGCCACTTTTCAGCTACTTTTCAAGAGAGTTGGGGAACGCTTCCCCGAGGAGAAAGATCAGGTCAGTTGGGCAGCATTCTTGTAACTCTGCTTTTCCCAACCTGGGTCCCCCTCCAGGACTATAACTTTGTAATTCCATCTGTACACAATTAAGGATCGTGGGACCTGTAGTCCCAATATCCCAGGAAGGGCCCTGCATGGCGAAACACTCTTCAAGCTCCTCTGCTATCTCCTACTTGAAGTTTCTTGTCTAGCTGTGTAAATCTGGAAAAGAAGCATTTTTTTAAATGTCTTTTGCTCAAACCTTTTGATTAAAAATAAAGTTTCCCTTGAGCCAAGCATGATTACATGGATATGTCTGTATTGCTTTTTTGGCAACAGGATAGACAGACAATATTCTTGTTTGATGAATTTCTGATCTACCATCCTGGGACTTTATGGTGGTCTCCCATCTAAGTGCTGATCAAGACCACTCCTTTTAGTTTTTCTCGAGATCAGCCAAGATCAGTTAGGTGCTTCCACCTACTATATCCTACATTTAGGGCTTCATAAAAGGGATCCAGAAGTTGCATACGGTGAATATAGCTATTGGCCAGGATTCGTGGCAGATTCATTGCTGGCACCTTTAAACAAGAGATGATTTTTCAGATGTTATTTGTTAGCTACAAGGTCTGATTTTGGTCTTGGGCGAAATGAGGCAAGTATCTGGAGAAGGAGGAGGCATCTGTCTATAGCTTTCATTGGAATGGCTGTATAGATCATCCATGACAAATAACAGTCTACCTCTGAATGGTAGATGCTGAAGATTAACAACAGAGGAGGACTGCTGCTGCTTTGCTGGATATGGGACCTAATTAGATCTTGTGGGAAGAGGAGTAGCAGGACCTTACAGTCTCATCCAGCAGGGATTTGAATGTGTTTTTTAACCAATACCCTAAGGAAGGGCTAGTTTCATTTCTAATTTTGTTCTCTCTCCCCTACCACTCTCCTTTTCTCCAAGACACCAAATTGGGTGGTTCTGTGTTGCCTGTCAGACATTTTTGTCCTTAGTCTCTTCCCATCCCTTTTTGATGCTGAACTCTGTCCTTCTGCACTTGCAGAATGTGAAATTCATTGCCATCACCAGCTTCCTCTGCCTACGATTCTTCTCCCCAGCCATTATGTCCCCCAAACTCTTCCACCTACGGGAGAAGCATGCTGATGCTCACACCAGCCGGGCCCTGCTTCTGCTGGCCAAGGTAAGACCTGCCCCGGAAGAAATGCTCTTAATACTGTCTGATGATGTCCCAAAGTGGTCCTTTTTTACTCTTGTCAAAGGTCCCTGTTCACTTTTTTAGTGTCTCATTTCATCTCATCTTGCCTCCCTTCCCTTCCCTTCCCTTCCCTTCCCTTCCCTTCCCTTCCCTTCCCTTCCCTTCTCTCCCCTCCCCTTCTTTCTCTCTTTTCTCTCTTCATTCTCTTCTCTACCTTTTTTTCTTTCTCTCTTTTTTCTGATATCCAAACACCACCAGATGGCTGAATCTGGATTTGTGACTTTAGCTTCTCACAATGCCACTGCTACAGCATCATACTAACAGTTGCTAATTGAACCACAGAGCTGTGGTTACAACTGACATTGCCCTTCTTTTAAATCCCCCATGTATGCTAAAGAAATTGGCTAACCCAGAATTGAGTAGACTGCTTCTCCTGATCTGGATGTGATGCTCTTATTTGTACACCCTAAGATCATACTTTGGGATTAATTCTCATGTGGCTTGTGATGCAGCACTAAAAAGGTTGGTTGATTGCTGAGCTCTGAAGATAGCTGCAGAATAGAAGGGGGATTTCTTGAGTGGCACTGATCAAGGCCACATCCAGTCTGAGTGCACTGTATAAAATCCAAGACTTGGAAAGGACCATTTGGGGCACTAAGTCCAGTTGCCTGCTCAGTGCAGAAATCCAAGTTGAAGTATTCCAGAGAGAGGATTGTCCATCCTCTGCATGAACAAATCCAATGAAAGGGAGTCCATCACCTCTCTGGATAATTAGTTTCACTGTTGAACTGCTGTTACTGTTAGGATGTTTTTTCTAACATTAAACTAAGAACTCCCTTTCCGTAACTTATAAACATTATATACTTTGGGATGATTGAGAGCAGGTCACGACCTCCTTATTTGGTGGCACTCATTCACATCCTTGAAGAATGCCATTGTGTCCCTCCTCAAATCTTCTCAAAGCTAAACATACCAGGTCCCTCATTTTCTCCTTGTAAGCCTTAGTTTCCAATCCCCTGATCATCTTCTTTGTCCATCTTTACATCTCTTTCAATTTGTCCTAGTCCTTCTTAAAGTGTGGGGCCCAGAATTGGTCATGGAATATGCTACTGGCACATAGGTTTGTCATATGGAATCACGCTTCTTCCTTGCTTCTTCTTTAAGGTACCCAAGGCAGATGTGGCTTCTCCTTACCACACACACAGCAACTCTATGCGATAGGTGGGGCTAAAAGACAACAGCCTTGACTAAGTTCTCCAGAGGGTTGAGTGGCTCTTTCTCCAAGTCCCAACATTTTCTCCACTGCAAACTGTACTGGCTTTCTCTCAATCTGGGGAAGCCTGTCCTTGAGTTGTGGTGACTTGTTCCGATTTTCTGCTTGGCCAGGCGGTCCAAAATGTGGGGAACATGGACACGAGCATCAGCCGCACCAAGGAAGCATGGATGGCCCCTCTGCAAGCCACCATTCAGCGGGGTGTTGCACAGATGAAGCAGTTCATCCTCCAGTTAATTGACATCGAGGAGAAAGATGGTAAATGCTTGATAAAGGCAAATAAGTTTTGAAATGTTCTGGTTGCTGCAAGCAGGAGAGTGCTTTCTCAGGGCTACCAGCCAGCTGGTAGTTTACTGAAACTTAGTGCCTATTCCCATTTCTGTCTTACTACAGGACAAACATTTCCAGGTGTTATTCTCTTGTTTTATCTGCTACTTTCCAGAAACCCTGGATCAACTGTCTGGCAGGTTCTGAGAGGGGCCAGGATTGAAAGAACCAATCCTATCTCTTTGGTTTATATTCCTCCAGCCTGCAGTGCAGCTGATCCACAAATCAAGGAGATGCCCAATAAAATATGAGAGATTGCCTCATTCAAAGCCAAGCATCTAGCATGCTGAAAACTCTGCATTACACAAGCCTGCTGATTTGCTTTTAAGTGGGCTTGCATGGGGGGAGGGGGGAGGCACGTTTTCAGCCCATACTCCCCGGCTTTGGAGTCCTTGGGGTTCTCTGAGCTTGGATGTTTTCTTGCAAATGTTTCATTACCTGGCTAGGTAACATTTTCAGTGCTAGAATGGAGTGGGGTTTGCTCTCCCCATTCCATTCTAGCGCTGAAGAAGTTACCTAGCCGGGTAAT